CGTCCCTCAGTGCCACATCCACGTGGTTCTTCAACACCTCCTAAATGCAGCTCTACTTTTTAGTTGATGCCTTTTTTTTGGTTGTTTGTTTGGTGATTGTTGTTGGGTTTTTTGTTTGTTTGTTTTTGGTAAGAATTCTGTGTAATCTGTGTTCAGTTGACTGTTCCTTTGCAAGCCAGTCCCTGTCCCTGAAGCATGCTGCCAGTGGGAAAGGAGAGCTCGTGAGTGCTGTACTGGACAGATTGGGGTTAGAGTAGGTGAAGCCTTATCTTTTCAAGCAGTTTCTCAATTGTCCCAGGTTTCCTCTGTTTTTAAGCTTTCTTCCTTTAAGTAGTTCTTATTGTTGCTTTTTGTTGTTCGTAAGGATCACTTCTTGCCATGACCATTTCCGATTTCTTTGCTCTTAGAACGCTTTTAAGCAGGAGCTGTAAAGTACATTTTCACATACTTTGTGCTAGAGCAGTTGTAATATTGGCATGTTAATTCTGCTATTTCAGCATTTATTTTTAACTGTGTTAACATCTCATTTTTAAGAACCTAGAACACATTTCAAAACACCATAGAAATAACTCAAGAAAAGTGGGATACCAGATGCCAGTTTCTGAATATGATGCACTGTTTTGTGAAATGAAGGTTAGCATATAATGCTGGTAATTCTTTACTCTTACTTTAAATTGACAAAATCCAGACTAATTTATGGTTTAATTTCTCCAGAATTGTTTCAGTCTTCATGTGAAGACTTCAAACTTTGATTGGTGCTGCATGCAGTACAAAAGCATTCTTCTGTGATTGTATGAACTAATGATAGAAATACAAGCTTTCCTAAACAATTCTGTACAGCAAATATGCTCTGTAGCTCCTCCTTAGGTACTGAAAGGTTGCTCTCAGGTCACTTTAAAATCTCCTCTTCTCCAGGCTGAACAGCCCCAGCTCTCAGCCTGTCAAATGTGCTCATCACATTAGTGATCAATAGTGATCTCTAATTTGTATCAAATTAGAGAAGCAAAACCCCTGATCTTCATCCAGGTGTACTTAGGTTACTCTTTCAGACTTGAAAAATGGTGCATGAAGTTTTCCAGCTCTAGGACGCGTACTAAGAAGATTTTTAAATGTATTTTTAAATGTAGCTGAGTTTTAAGATTGAGTGTTATCTAATTTCTGCCTCTCCAGGTGAAGATGGAGCAGGTAAAACTAGCTTAATATGAAAAATTCAAGGAATCGAGGAATACAAAAAAGGAAGAGGCATGGAGTATTTGTATTTAAACGTGCATGATGAAGATCAAGATAGTAAGTTTCTTATAATATCTTAAACCAAAGTAGTGATTCAGTATTGTGATGTTTAGAATGAGAATGGGATGGTTTTCTTTCTCAGCAGAAGGTCAGTTCAGTCCGCAGGCAGTTTGTTATGATGAGGTTTCTCATTCTAATCTCCTTTACATATATGATGAATGACCAGGCATGAGGAGGAGAGGAGCCAGTTAAAAGGCTGAAAAGGCCAGGAGAAAAGCAGTCTTTTGTAACATTCTGAATGGATGGTAGGCAAAAGTGCGCTCGTCAAACCTAGAGGAAAAGGTGTGTAAGACTCACACTACAGATATCTGTACCTGTGGAATGCTTAATTCCACCCTGATGCTTAAATTGAGGGGGAGAGGGTGAGGGAAGGAGGCTGTAGCCTGTTTATGCACAGTATTATAGAATAGTTTGGGTTGGAAGGGACCTTTAAATACCAGTGAGTTCCAACCCCCCTGCTGTGATCAGGGACGCCTCCCACTAGACCAGTCTGCACAAAGCCCCATCCAGCCTGGCCTTGAACACCTCCAGGGATGGGGCATCCCCAGCTTCTCTGGGCAACCTCTCCCATTACCTCGTCACACTCTGAGTGAAGAATTTCTTTCTAACATGTAACCTAAATCTCTCCTTTTTCAGTTTAAAGCCATTCCTCCTTGTCCTGTCACTGCATGCCTGTATAAAAAGTCCCTCCCCCCCTTTCCTGTAGGGACCCTTTAGGTACTGGAATGTCACTGTAAGGTTTCCCTACAGCCTTCTCTTCTTCAGGCTGAACAACCCCAGCTCTCTCAGCCTCTCTCCATAGGAGAGATGCTCCAGCCTTGTGGCCTCCTCTGCACGTGCTCTACCTGATCCAGATGCTTCCTATTTTGAGGTCCAGGGTTGAACACAGTACTGCAGGTGGGGTCTCACCACTAGCTGATGAAGTGTAATGAATTATCTACAGGCAATGCTTAGAAGCAGCTGAGTGTGAATAAGAACACAGAAGTACTTGTGGGTAAAAATGACTTCTCTGTGCTATGAAAACAAATGCAGGTTGAAGGAGAAACAGAAGTTAGTTCCTTCTGCCTTCTGAAATCATCTCCGTTCTTGACTTCCGCCTCTGGCTATTGGTCTCAAAGATGACTTGACATCACAAAGTTAAGAACTGGTTCTGAATGTTTTCCTCAGAGCTTCTGTATCAAGCTGTGAAAATTTACCTGAAGGCAAAATGTAATTATATCATGCTATCTAATTTTGAATCACTGGCTCTTCATTTACTTCAGAAGTTAAGTGTTTCTGAGGGTAGGAGTACACTGTTTTGGTGGAAGAAGCAGTAAGATGGCCTATTTGCACTGTGATTGTCCTTCTGCAGATCTGAAGAATAACTTTCTTGCCTGTTCACTCTCCATCTAAATCATTAAAGCTTATGACAGAAACTTGCAGTTCTGCTTCAGTTTTCTGATGGCCAAGATACAGTTATGCATGCACATCACATTGAATGAATTCAGCAATCCCTTTTCAGCCCGTCTGCTCAGCTGACTGCCATCTCCCCTTCAGAGCTCCCCCTTTAAGTTGCTTTTCCAAGAGAACCATTTTCCTTTTCAAATGGTGAAGATTAACATTGGAAATATTCAATTTTTTCTCTGAGTTTTCATCTTCAGGTACTCTGTTCAAGATCTTCAGTTATGGCCATTAAGCTGAATTCTTCAAACTTCAGTGTCTCTGAGGGGCAAGGGCTCTCCACAAGCTGCAGTTGCTGGTGTGTATGTGTGTGTGTGTGTGTGTGTGTGTTAAGCTGACTGATTTAAACATGTTTTTTAATTTTCTTGACTTGTATTTTACATACCTTATGAAAATGTAATAGTTATTATGAAGTGGAGTGTTGCAAGTGAATCTCAAAATGTTTTTTCTTTTGTTATAGACCAAATAAGATGCAATGTATGGATTTTGGATGGTGACCTGTATCACAAGGGTCTCCTTAAATTTGCAATGGAGTCAAACTCACTAAAGGGCACTCTAGTTATGTTGGTAGTAGACATGTCCAGGCCTTGGACTGCAATGGATTCTTTACAGAAATGGGCAAGTGTTGTAAGAGAACACATTGACAAGTTAAAAATTCCTCCTGAAGAAATGAAAGAAATGGAACAAAAATGTGAGTATTCTGTAGATATTTAGGATTCCGCTTAAGTCAAGTATGCTTAATGCTTTCTGTACAACTTAATCTCTCCATTGCAGTCTTTTTCTCTATTGTAAAAGTGGCTTAAGATCAGGAGTTCCAGGTTGAATTGTCTTATTTCCTGGAGAAACAAGATAAGATTTATCAAATGAAAAAAATGTAATGGCTTTCTGTTTTATATTTAGTTATTTTAAAGGTGGATTTTCATCTTCTATACTGCATTAGTCTTTTACTTGTTCCTGTAATCAGTCAGGCTAGATAATTTTGGGTCTTTTATCTGTTTAACAAAAATGTAAATGTTGAAAGCATTCAGGATTATTTCAGCACAGTAATGTTTGGGCCCTTTATGCTTGAGGAGTTATTCTTGACACAAATGCAGCTATGTATGCTTTGGTTTGGGTTTTTTTGTGTTGTTTTTTTCTGTTTGGTTCTTTTGGCATGAATATGCTCTATCACTTTCATGTCTTTTTAACTTAAATATGCAGAGCACAAGGTTATTGCAGAATTCCTTGATCTGACTGAGCTTGCTAGTGTCATGGCACCTACTAGTTTTGGGCAGCCATCGTATTTCACTTGTGGTACTAAATCATGAACCTTGCCCCTTCATCTCTCTGAATTACTACAGGAAGCAAACACTTGGGAAGGCTCTGTGTGATCAAATACTGTGATTAAAACTGTATTGATTGAAGTCTGAAATTTGTCTCTAGAATGATTATGTTCTTAAGCACCTGTTGGATAGCTTTTTTTTGCTTTTTTTTTTTTTTTTTTGACATCCAAGTTGTAGCTGTGCTGTGATTGAATGGGCAGTAAGGCAACAGCTTACTTTTCTTTTAAAAGATTATTCTAAGGGAGTGTCATTTCTGGGAGTCATCTTAAATTCTTACTGTGAAAAATGAAGAGAGGGAGAAGAGTGCTTTTGAGTGTGGGTCATTTTGTTTTGTTGGTTTGTTGGTGGGAAGGCTGTGTATTAAAATTACCAACTGTTTCAGGATATGGTTTTACTGGATGAAAGTAGGGATGCAGTATCTTTGCTATCAAAACTGTGCAGATGGTAGCTTTGCTTCTTTACCGACTGACTGAACAGAATAGGAAATTTTACAAAATCCAGAAAAAAATATTCCAAGGTCTCTGAGTTGATACGGTACGTTAATCTTTTTTCTTCCCTTGAGTTGCTGGCATATCCTGGTGAGAGCTCTGGATTAAAAACATAATCAGTCTGGGAGGCTCTCAGACCAGACTGAAGGGGCAGCGTTGCTTTAATGAGAGCCTCAATCAACTGCTGAAGTAGAGATGATGATCTGTACCTATGCTTCTTTTTGTTCTGAATTTCGGGTAGAAGAGCTGAATAACTTCAGCCCAATGCACTTTTATCCTGGATGCTGGATAACTCCGTGTTCTGTTAATTCACCCGATGCTTTTCTAGGTAGGAACTCAGGCCTTCAGTCGGTTTAGAAAAGGTAGGGATGGATGAAGGCAAATCAGGACAAAGCAGTGAGAAAGTACTGGAGTGCTGGTGTGTGTGATTCATCTGTGATTCTGCTAAATCATCTTGCTGCCTGGATTTCTGGCTGATTCAGGCAGTGCTACCCGTGGAAAAGTAATGGAAGTGGTTTGGGATAGAATCCTTTTTCTGCTGGGTGAAATCAGACACTTGATGTGAAAGGTACAAACGTCTGATGCCTGATGCTGCATCCCTGGTGGGATGCACATTAAGTGACCTTGTAATTAGAGCTTGGGCATTTGCATCAGAACTGACAAGCGTTACACTTATAACCTTGCCTTTGTTTTTTTTCCTTCTAATTCTTGTTGGATTCTGACTTGCCTTCCTTGCTAAACTTTAAAGTAGTATCTGATTGGTTGTAAAGTCATGCCAAATGTTTAACCTGCTGCTACTTAATAATCTAGTTATTGACTAATTTTTTTTTGTTTGTTTGTTTATTACTAGTATAGATTCATGGTACAGAAAACTGTGGATGAGGGACTTTTAGGTCAAACCAACTAAATGATCTGTACAAGGCTTGCTGCTGTTTATGCTAACAGATTTTTGCTAATTTCACCAAGAACAATGCAGGGGACCTTGGTTCTGTAGTAGATTTATCAAGCAATGATAGCTAATAGCAACTGCCCAGTGGTTCTTCCACAGTGCTGAAAGTCAAAATGGGTTAATGTTGTCCTCATGGACACTTGAAACTGGCCGTGTTCTTCTGCCTAGCCAAATAAATGAGTGGCACTTACTGCATGTTCAGTTCTTTCAACCTACAGAAGCACTATACTGTCAGCAGTACTAGAGATCAATGGCAGTGGAAATCAATGTTGAAATACTAAAGTAGATGATTTTTTCATATAACTTTTTTTCAGTGGTAAGAGACTTCCAGGAATATGTAGAACCAGGCGAGGATTTTCCAGCTTCTCCACAGAGAAGAAGCACTTCAGTACAGGAAGACAAAGATGGCAGTGTGATTTTACCCCTGGGTGCAGATACACTAACATGTAACTTAGGCATTCCAGTAGTAGTAGTTTGTACAAAGGTTTGTTTCACGTTTTATGTTTTTGGTATGTTTTATTAAGGGGGTGCTTTAAATTGTGGAGTTGGGGTGGGAAATTCTTGGTTCTAAATTCATTCTGAATACGTTGCATAAGAATTCTTATCAATGGGTTTTATGTTGGAGGTTGGGAATCTTCTGGAAGCCCTATTTGCATTTAATTTGGGTGTAGTATTTCCTGTGGTATTACCAGTTTTCAGGGAATTGAGAAATACCCCAGACCTGGTTTTGCTCTCAGAAGTGAGCTAGTCAGTAAACAGCTAAAACTCCCTTTAATTTACACAGCCATTCTTTATTCTGTAAACAATGGTTTGGATTTTTAAATACTTCTGCTTTTTTTTTTTTTTTTATGTGAAGGAAAAAGTTTCAGGGTGCTAGCTAGTAGAGTGCTGCTCTGCTAACATTGCTTAGTTCTTAGGGTGTTTCTGTGACCTGATTTGATTTCTATTAAATACCTCACACTTTTAGTCTAGAGAGAAAGTAGTGTGGTTCTCATGTTTTGTTTTATTCCCCCATGGCTTTTCAGTTCTCATTGGCATTAAACATACTGCATCTGCAGCCTCTGCTAGCCCAAAGAGAAAGAATAAACCTTTTGATGCATATGCTGTTACTTCTAGAGAAGGCTGACTCTCTCATTTGAAAAGCACCTGTATTTTGTTGTTTGTTTGTTTGTTTTCACCTCCTGGGTCTCCGTTATTCTTCCCTCACCACAACCACTATTTTTTTTCTTCTCATCTCTAGGCTTCTTGCTTTGGCTTACCTTTGCAAAGGGCGAGCAAGTAGCCAGTTGAAAAGACTATGCCTTGTGATAGCACAGCATTGTAAAAGCACTGTGCAGAAAATGCTTGTATTCAATGGATTGGTGTTCAGTAGAGATGCTGATTTATTGCATAATGTGGTTGCAGTTGGGAAGAGAACGGAAAATGGCAAACACTTTAGCTCCCAGCTTAAGGCAGCCCATGCTACCATATGAATGCCAAAATGCATATTTAAAAAAATATATATATAAAAAAAAAAACCTATGTTTCAAAACAATCTCAGGAGGTTTTTGTTTTTTTGCTTTGCCCCCCATGGCTCAGAGTTGTGAAGGAGGTGCAGCAGCACTGCTATTTCAACAGCTGGCTGGAAGTGGCATATTAATTCTGTGCTTATTTTAACAGTGCGATGCCATCGGTGTTCTGCAAAAAGAGCATGACTACAGAGACGAACACTTCGACTTCATTCAGTCACATATCAGACGGTTTTGCTTACAGTGTATCCTTGAACACATCGTAAAGACGATAAGGACTCAAAGCTTTGCATTAATTGTGACCAGCTTAAAAGAATATTTGCATCTCTACCAAAACTGTGCACAACTCCTTCTTTGTTGCTGGACATCTGCTTTGGTTATTCCCTATATACAATGCTGGGTTAAATATTTCCTCATCCTGTTGAATAATTTTTTAATTGAATTGATTGAAAGGAATGGAATTAATTCATTACAGATATGCAAGAGTCTGGCACGTTCCCTTACTTTGAATTTCTTTCCTTGCCATTTCCATACTGAAGAATCAGTTCCTAAATCAGCAGATCTTAACCAACAAGCTCCCTAAAATTGAAAGAAGATAATTCATTTTAGCATGAAATCATTTCAGATGCCCATATCTTTTTGACTGAGTATGTGGTGTCTTCAGGGTTCAGTAATCCAAAGTAATCTCACAAATCTCACTTCACAATAAGTGATCTAAACTTATTAGAGATCTTCCCCAAGTTAAGTAGAAGGACTCCCAAAAAGAACTATGATAGCGGAGATCATAAAATAAAAATAATATTATACAATTCTAATGCAGAAACAACATTTGTTTCCCACACTGAACACAGTATTTGTTTGGCTCTGCTGCTCAGACACCCCAAAATTCTGGAACCTATGATCAATAGTAACACAAAGTCCATCAACTGAGTAACAAGAGTGCATTGGATTTCACCATCAGACACAAATGTTACTGTCCTAAGGCAGGAAAATACAAAAATCAGCTGTTTACATTTCATGTGCCTTTTCTTTCAATTATTTCTTTCAACACATGAGGTTTACCTGTGTTACATGAACAGCCAGGACTGTAGACAGTGTCAAAAAGTTGTCTTATTACACGTGATCCACCATACAGAGAATTAAGTCCATGCTTTAAACGGTAACATACTGACTTCTCATTTTTTTTCCATTTTTCAAACACATTACCATGACTCTAAGTAAACTGTTCATTGACAGAGACTGCACTAAGAAAAGAAGTCACAAA